CTCCCGGTTGAGAGCTCAGGGGTTTGTGTCAACACCAGCGCAGTCTTTGCTCGGGGAGCCAGAGCCGGGGCAGCCGCTGACTAACCGCCTTTCACGGTTCTTGCGGGAGCTGCCAACGGGAAGCCACCCAGCTCCGCCGGAGCTCACACGGGCAGAGCGAGGTTGGACGTGGGGAGAGTCCTGGCCGGGGTTCAGGTGCAAGTCCTGGGCGGAAGGGCCTGGCGTATGGCTTCTTCCCACCGAGGCATCCACCCGGAGGCCTCTGTCCGTCGGAAGCACACTGTGGGAGTTGGAGGCCCAGGTCCGAGTGCAGGTGTCGTCCTGAGCAGCTCCTACATCTCTGCCTGGTTGCCTCTCCCCTGAAGCCTCTGCTTCCCGTCCATACAGCAGGCGCAGTGCCGGTTCCTGCCTCCCACAGGCAGTTGTGAAGAGGAGGTCTGTGTCTGCGGTGCCTAGGACAGGCCTCCCCCCACATGCTGCAGGCCCCCAAAAGATGACCTGCCACTGTTAGGACTGGCATCACCATTGCTCCCACATTGATGCAACATTTACACCAGGGAAACTGGCAGTACCAGGACTTCAATTTGGAAAGAGAATTGAGAATGACAGTTGTTCTTTAAAAATTCCATCTTCTCAGAAAGGATGAGTAGGAGGCCATGGGCATACCTCTCCAAGAGTGAGATGAGCTGAGATGTGGAGGCTCAGTGTGGCCTGGTCATCAGCTTCCAGCCCTGCCAGGGGCACTGTTTAGCTGGGTATAAAACCCTGTTGAAAGCGCAGGCTGTGGGAAGCTGAGGCCAGCGACCACCAAGACCTCTGCTCAGACTGTGTCTCCAGCAGAACCCTGAGCCCACAGTCTCCCAGTAGTGAGTAGAGTGAGGCTTGGAGCCTGGATGGGATGCAGGAGCTGTAGGGGGCTCCATCAACCCAGCCTTTTGTACATCCCTGGGTGCCCTGCACAGACACCCCTGACCGCCGACCCCACCCACAGGGGCTTCTTCAAGGAGAGGAGGGCTTGGAATTAGGTTTCAGCAGGTTCCAGACTCACACCCACATCTTTGGGTCCAATGAAGCTACTTCAGAAATGGATAAGAAAGAAAAGTAGGTTAGAGCAGAGCTGGGCATGGCGGCTCACACCTATAATCCCCACACTTTGGGAGGATTGCTGGAGCCCAGGAGTCCCGGCCTGGGCAACATAGTGAGACCCCATCTCCACAAAAAATAAAACAAATGAGCTGGGGTGCGATGTGCCTATCGTCCCAGCTACTCAGGAGGCTGAGGTGAGAGGATCACTTGAGTGCAGGAGGCTGAGGCTGCAGCGAGCCACGATCGCACCACTGCACTCCAGCCTGGGCGAGACACCCTGTTTCAGATGAAAGTATGTTAGAGAGACAAGGTTTGCCGTCAATGCCAAGAGCAAGGGGCACGTGAACTGGAGTGTTTGGGGCCCTCATGGGCCTCGGCCTCCCCCACGCCGGGCTTTGTTCGCCTCCTGCCACTTTGGAAGCAGCTCCGTGGCCGGGGCTCGCTCTGGATTTCCTCCCCAGTTAGGTTTTCAGATACTTTAATGACAGATGATTTTGACGGGAAAGAAACCTTCTGGGATCCATTTGTGACACAGAACAGCAAGCTGAGCCCCCAGGGGCCGCGCCAGAACTGCAGAGCTGTGTGTGCACGGGACACCCCTGCGTGCATGGCTCCTCTTTGCTGACTTTTCGGAGAACAGAGGGTATTTATTTTAGGAGTCAAAAAAGAGGTTCTGACCAACCCCACTTAGCTAAATCCTGGCACTGGTACCCGCGAGGGAAGCTTAATGCCAGAGGTCAGACCTTGCTTTTTTGGCTAAAACGCTTAATCAAACACACCTAATACTTCTGCCGGGGTACAGAGGGGCTGAGAGCCCTGCGGCCACTGCCAGCAATCGAGGAGCCAGCGGTGCGTGCGCTGAGGACCCAGCAGGCAAAATAAAGAGGGTTTTCAGCAAAGCAGTGGCTCAGGCGAGCGGGGAGCCAAGGCTGAGTGAGCCGGGGAGCGCATCCGGCCGTTTTTCCACCCGAGGTCAGCGGCAGGTGAAGAGGCAGAGTTAATGGTCTTCATACCTGCCAAGGCGGGCCGTGACATGGGGCGGGAGGTTCCGGAGCATGGCTCAGGCCCCGGCACCCCGCCTGCAGGAGGCTGCTGCTTTCTCTGTAGCCATGGGACGCTGTCTTCCTCTTCAGGGGGTGCAGGGCAGCTGGCGAGGGCTCCACCGCTGCGTGGTTCTTCCGTGGCTACACCTCTGCGTGGTTCTTCCGTGGTTCCACACTGCGCTCCAGTGTGACCACAATCTTCAGCAGCCCACACGCTCAGCCCAAAGGGGGCCCAGGCACCATGCTCAGAGGATTCAGAGAGACAGCCAGGAGCCCGGCAGCTGTGGCACCTGCCCCCACCACCCCCCCGGGGCTGGCCAGGCCCCACCTCCTGATGCCACACAGCATGGCCGGGCCCTTCTGGTCGGTGCATCACACATAATGCCTCAAACTATTGGGGCCAGGGTTGGAACGTCTGTCTCTGCATCCCCACCCGATGGCAAGCTCTGGGGAGCAGGAGTGCTGGCCACACCCAGGCACAGACCTTGTCAGACTCCAAGAGAAAGGCGGAGAAGGGCCCCTGCGTGGCGCAATGGATGGGCTTACTGGGGTGCCCCATCCCACCCGGCCACTCGGAGGGCAGGAAGATCAGGCCACAGCAGGAATGGTGCACACCCAGCAGAGAGCAGCGTGCACAGAGAGAGGGTGGCCCCCACCTGAAAGGCCATGCATCTGAGCCCACAGCAAGCCCAGGCTGGGATCTGTGAGCAGCTGGAGGGCCCTCATGCTACCCCCTCTGGATGTGAAGATTTGGTGTTCCTGGGTGGCTCCTGGGCTGACCCTGCCTGGGGTGTTGGTGGGGGCGTCACTGCGCCTCCCGAGGCATTGGGCACCTGCATTGGGAATGCCTTGGCCATGGCATGCACATTCCCATGGGGAATAGGAGGGAGACCCCTGAAAATGCCCAGCCAGAGGCTACCAGATGCTCCCAGGCCAGCACCCGGCCCCTGCGGGCTCTTGGCGGGGGTGTGGGTTTGTGAGCAGGTGCTGGCAGGCCAGGGCAGGGAGGGCAAGACCCTCTGGTGGCTGGTGTCTGCACAGGTGCCTGTGACTTGGCCATGAATGCCAGAGAGACAGAAAAAGCATCTTATTCCTCAGCTTGCCTCACAAAGCAGGCCCTGGTTCTGATCAGCCCAGCCCTTTCACTGGCAGCGCGATCCAGTTTCTCTGCTCAGGGCAGCCCATGACGGCGGGCACTGTCCCTCTACTCTCGAGAGCCCCAGGGCCTCCCCTGGGATGGGCGTGCTTTCCCCAGACCTGGGACGGCCGAACGTTCCTCCAGCATCCAGAGTGAGGAGAGATGCCGCCTGAGCACCGCCTGGAGGTCTGCCTTCAGCTCGCCTTGGCCCTGCGGGCAGGTCACACCCCTCCTGACCCTTTCTCCTCTTCCGAACGCCACCCACCTAGGTACCTGAACCTAGCAGGCGCGTCTGCCGTTCACATTAGCGCCGGGCGACCCGGAAGGCGATTGGGCTGGGCCCCGCATGGCTCAGCGTGTCAGTTGCGCCGTGGTGAGCACGCTGCGCCCTGTCCTTCCGATTTCTAAAACCATCGTGGAATACGAAGGGCGGGAAGGAGAGCCTTTGTCTTGAGCAGCATTTCTCGGGTTACTTTTCGGTATCAGTTTCAATCTTGGTTTCTGTTCTATGGAAACAACAGTGTGATTTCCGTACACTCGCCCGTGCACGGCCACTTTGGGTCCAGAAGGGAAAATCCAATTTCTAGAGCTCATCTGTCAGTTTGCTTCACACAGAGAGCACTCTGGGACGGGTCACTAGACGCCGCCCCGCCCCCACCCGGAGTGCAGCCTGCTGGCTTTTAAGAGGAGGTACCCGGCGAAATGCTCTCCAGGGCCGAGTCAGGGAACGCTCCGGGCCGAAGCGAGCTGGGAGGAAGAATGAGCCGACTGCTGGCATACTCCAGCCTCACAGCCTCAGCCTCTGTCTACACGTGGGTGAGGGGGTGGGAGCTCCTATGCAGCCCGAAGCCACGGCTGAGGGTCCTCCGTGGCCACCCCGGGCCCCTGCGCGGCACTAGGCACAGCAGCTTTTCTGACTCAGCTCCATTTCCTTTGAGAAGTTTCCCCAAAAGCCATGGGGACATCCCCCTCCCAGGCATCTGGACGGGAGTGAAGACCCAGTTAAAAAGCTCCCGCCTCTGATTTGCCAAAAAAGAGGTACCAGAGAAATGGCATCAGCTCCCTCTCCCTCCAGCACCCACCAAGCTGCCCTTCCGCAGGGCACTGGCCGACCTCTGCCCCTCGCCCCAGCCGCCCACCGCTGTCTCCTGGGACCGCTGGGCAGAGTCCAGCTCCCCACTGAGTGCTCCCTCTTGAGCTGGACCGTAAGCCTCCTGAGGGCAGGGACTGCATCTCCCTTCCCTCACCCTTCCAGGGCCTGGCTCAACATAGGGCAAGTTATGTGTAAACACACGTGGCGTGATTCGCTGCCAGAACCCAGAGGAAATAAAAATAGAGCCTGTTCACCATCCAGCGTTCCGTGCGCTCTGCCCGTGGCTCTCAGACGTAATGTGGATGGCTCACCTTCAGACGCCTTGACCCGGGTCCCCACCCAACCACTAAAGGGCCAGAGTGAGCCACACAGTGTGGCTCCCTCCCCAGAGTGCAGGGTTTCCAGGGAGGTGAGGTCCCTGGGGGACGCATGGAGTCCTCAGCAATTGGGGGAGCCTCTGTGGGAAGAAGGGGTCCCTGCAATCAAGGCAGCCCTTCATTTCCTACTGTGGAGAAGCCGCTGGGTCCCACCCTTGTGACTTCAGGAGACAGAGGGTCCCCCCCCACCGTTTAGAGCCCAGGGTGGCTTGAGAACGGCATTTGATCCGACACTAACAACCCCTCTCAAAATTGTTTTGCAGCAAATACTGACTGACGCGGACGTGTCGCCCCAGGGAGGCTGCATCAAAAAGGTAGGAGAGCTCCCCTGCGCCGCCTCTGCTCCCAGCATCCTCAGGGCTCCTGCGGGGTGACTGCGAGCCCAGCCATCCCTGAGTTAACAAGCGTGTAGTCTCAGTGTTGCTGTCAGGTCCTGAGTGATGTGTCATCTGTGGACTGATGTGTGCACAGGACAGTGGCTTTGGTGTAATTAGGAGGGATGCTTCTTTTTACTGTGTGGGCAGGTCAGGGTCCCGTCACTGTAGGGTCCCAGGTACTGGGCTGCCTGCCACTCTCCTAACTCCCAAGCACGGGGGAGAGCCCCGTACCTGTGGGAAAGCTCCAGGCCACGCAGGGGACGGGAAAATTAAATAAACGCAGGTTGTGTTTATTTAACTGTCTTCACTGGATACTCTCATGAAAAGGATATGGGGAAAAATTGGCTGCAGATTCAACAAAGCCTTTTGCTACATTCATAGCTTCCAGAGAAGCATCGCTTTAAATAAGCAAACCACCAGGCGAAAGAAAAAGTGTCCACATGGCATTACCCATGGCTTTACTGACTGGTGGTGGGTGACGGCTGGTGGACAAACATCAGCTCTAACAGATTCAGAGTGAGAACTGTGCACAGAGAAACACACAGGTCCCTGGGGCGGCGCACACGGTCACACGTGTCCCTGGATGTGCACACTGCAGTGAAGAGAGCCAGGAGGAGGAATGACTGGAAAGGCAGCTCCAAAGCCCAGAACCCGTTCAGCAGTACAGCTCGGCTTCCACGGAGTAGGTGTTGCCCGCACGCACATGCAGACATCCACAGACACAGGCACACTCACGCGTGGTGGCCGATCTTCTATTTTGGGGGGTTTTCTAGTAAAATTAAAGTAACGGTCTCTCACTTGGTATCTTGGCTTCAGAGCAAGATAAAATTTAGCTAGTCACATTTGCACATCTCCATCCAGACAGCATCAGGGCACCATGGGGGCTGCTGGCACGGGTGAGCCAGCGCTGAGTCAGTGCCTACTCAGCGCGGTTACAGTTCCGTCAAAATTACGACTGGGTTCCGTGAACAGAACAGGAGCTGGAGGGGTACTGCCGGCCTTGTGGTTAGGAAGACCTGACCCATCCCCCGAGCAGAGATTCACGCCATCAATACACCGTTTTCTCCCAAAATTAAAGGGAAGCGTGGTGCTGGTTTCGCCATACCCCAGTCTCTGAGCCGAAGCATTTGGGCGGAGCTGCCTTTGAGGCGCAGGGGACCCACCATCTGAGCAGAGCTATCCGAGAGGCTCGGGGCACCCGATCCTTTTCTCCAGGTTCGACCCCAGAACACTGATTTTGGAGAAAGCGTGGCAATGGAGGCTTTTCCCGACCCCGTGGCGACCCGCCGAAGGGCCTCTGGCAACCCATGAGCTGTTTTCCGTGTTCCTCCCCATGGCTCGTGGGGCTGTGTCTGGCTTCCTGGGGTCCTTTTGTCCGAGGACAAGCTGTCGGCTCTCAGTCCCCACCGAGGCCTTCCTGTGCCCGCGTTTGACCATGCCATGGCCCAAATTCCAGTGCTGGCCTTGTGCACTTTCTCTCTTTCTCCTTTCCTGCCTGTTTAAATGAATTCATATCTTCTTAAAGGACGCGGAGGAGCAGGAAACAGTAAGCAGGGCTGCTGTGTTTCAGAGAGCTGCGGCATTTTCACTTCCCACCAAGCAACCTGCAGTCAGGGCGAATCCCTCGGCTTCTCGAATGAGCCTGAATCCTTGGGTTTTCCACCCATGCGCCCCTGACCCGCCTGACGTTTTCCAGACGCCCTCCTCGGCCCCACCTCTCCTGAACGCCTCACGGAGGTGGCCTGACAGGAGGTTAGACGAGGAGCAGTTTATGCTGGGATGGGTTGCCTGGTCTAGGAACAGGGGTCAAGGCAGAAGGTCAAAAGGTCAAGGCTACATTTAAAGGGCCGGAGGAGGCAAGTACTGGCTGCTTCTGAACCAGAATGAAATCAGACAGGAGGGTGGAGTGGGCACGGCCTTCTGTGCCTCTGGGCCATGCTGGGTTTGCCTTTTTGTTTCATACATGGGGCCATCAGGTCTCACCTGATGTAGCTCAAGGTCATTCTGGAGAATGGCTCCCAGGATGGGTGTGAGGTGCCGCCCAGCGGGGGCCTCCTACTTCCAAGTGCCCAGAGCAGCAGGCGTCCCTCCGAGGCAGGCCCTGGGAAGGCTGGCTGGGAGCCGGAGGTTCTGCCATCCCGCAGAATCAGAGCAGACACAACACACGCAACCCCCATGGCACCACCACAGCCACAGGGGCCCAGGGCAGGGTACGGAGCCCGCATCGGGGGCATTGGTGACGGCCCTGTTCAAGCAGGCCTCCCGACCCCAGCCCAGGGCTCCTCCCTGCCACTGCTCTACAGGCCCAGTCTGAGGGGCTGGGGGCTGCCTGGAGGAGGCATCCTCACCCAAGTCCACCGGAGGGCGAGGCCACCCACAGCACTGCCCAGGTGTTTTTTCCAGCCTTGCACTAAGCTCAGCACCATCAGCATCCAGGGGATGTTTGCCAAGGTCATGCCGTGGGAGAATCAGATCCCTAACCCCAAGGCTCAGACTGGACCCGTTCAGTTATATTCCCAGGGACTCTGGGGCGGGGGCAAGGGGAGAGGGTCAGGGATGAGGGACTGAGAGCTGTGAGCTAAAATTCAAAGACAAAGGCTTCAGACTCGGGGCCGGGAGGACCAGGACACACAGCCCTCCAGTGAGCTTCCATCCAGACGGAAGACCCCACCCTGAGAGCAGATGCACTGCTGAGAGCTGTAGACGTGCGTGCACCGCGTGGACGGCTAAGGTGACTGTGCGTGCCGTGGAGCTGCACTAAGGATGAATTCAGTGCCATCCTTGGTTATAGGACAAGGACTCTGGCTTGTGGGTTTTGTAGTTTGGGTCACCCAAAGGCGCACTTGGGAGCATTAAAACCCTCATGGGGGAGCGTGACAGAGCTGTGTGACCTGGGTGTGGGCAGCTCCTGTGGGAGCGTGACAGGGGGTGGACAGCTCTTGTGGGAGCGTGACGGGGGGTGGGCAGCTCCTGTCTCTGGCCTTCAGTTCGTCCACCTCTGGGAAGATTATGCTTCCTGTTCTTTATCTGCCTCAGTGAAATGTGACAAAGTTAATTCAGTCATCGGCTTGGCACGTGAGCTGCAGAAAAGGTGATATTTTGTGGGGAAGCCTCGGTTAGGAATTCTAAGTACCAAGAGAGCCAGGTCTCTGAAGGGGCTGAATGCAGAATGACTCTACTCAGAATTTACAGGTGAAGGCGGCCAGCTGGGGGTGGCTGGAGGCCTGGGATTCGAACCCAGGACTGTGACTGGGTGCAGGGCTCTTGTGAGAGTTACAGAGCTGCCTCCTGTCAGCCCCGCCCCTGCCCCAGGAGGGCGGAGCCACTGCCAGGCCAGGGGACGGTCGTCCCACGGCCCTCCTGCACCCTTTGGCCTCACCCTGGCCTCCTACGTCCCCTCTGTACCCCACCTGGGCCCTGCAGCCCGTGCGCCCATGCCGCCCAGAGCTTTGGCGCTGGCCCACACTCGCCCTGGTTGCCCTCACCGTCCCAGCGTCTGACCTGGTGCTCCCTGGGCACGTCATCGGCGCTTCCCAAAAAGTCACATTGGCTGTGGGTCGGGCCACGTCGCGCCGAGATGCAGGGACCTCTGGGGCCGCTCCCTCCGCAGAGTTTCTATTTAGTCTCTGTTTACTTAGAGGGAAAGCCCCGGGCTGCTGGAGAGCAAACATCTGCGGGAGATAATCTAGCCCGTTGTCCATCCATCACTCGGGGCGCGAGGCTCCCTGGAGAGCCCGCCGGAGCCGGTAATAAAAAGGCCGGGCGAAGAGGCTTTGGGGACGAATAAAGAGCCGTGTTAAGGGCTCGCCGAAAATGGATGGAAGACATTATTAAGGCTCAATGGCCATCTTATCAAAATCCAATAGGATAGACATTTGGCAAAAGGCTTAAATTTATTCTTTGACTTTCTGGAGGGCTTGAATTTATCCGTTAACAAGAGTGTAGTCCACCCGGGAGATGCTATCAGCTGAGAGAATTTTGATTCAATCTCTGGGATCTGAAAGGGGAAACATGGCCCCGAAGCCTTTCCCTTTGTCCAGTTTACCGGGCTTTCCTTTCCCTCTTGAAAAGGAAGGACGTGTTAATACAGAGCCGGGAAACACAAACACAGGGAAGTGACCTTTTCTGATTTTTATTTTCTCTTCTCCTCTGCTTGTCTACCCCCTCCTCCCAAAAATAAATAAACCGTGAATTGGCAGGGTAGGGCTAGGCCTGGGGACCTGAAAATGCCCCTTCAGAAGCTTCGGAAAAACCGTCCACCCCAGCCCGCCCCCAGGGTGAGGGGCGGGAGCGCAGAGGCTTAGAGGCGGGTCAAAAATAAATCGAGCTAATAAAGTCATTCCACCGGAAGAGGGGCCGGTGATGGGTCCATAAATCTCTCCCCGTTATTATTATTACGTACAAAATGCTACAGGTCATAAAAGTCATCTGACAGCCCAGCCTTGTGTTGTCCAAACAGGGTGATTGATTGATAATTATGATAATTTGTGAAATGATTATTTGGATGTTAGCACCATGGCCTGTCCCGGTTTTCTATGGCCTGGCCCGGGTAAAATGCCTCCGGTAACGAGGAGCCCAGAGGTCTCCTGGGTCCCTCCCGTGGGGACTGCTGGCTAATGAAGGTTGACTCCCGGGCCAGGGAAGGTGGGAGCGAGACAGACGGGCACTGCTAAGTGTGTTTTGTGCTGCAATGACCGGAGGAGGCCACACACCCTGAGGCCGAAGTGCGGCGGGGACCAGGCTTTGACTCCGGGCAGTTTGCGAGGCGGGATAGACCGAGTTCCTGGCCACGCGGGGCTCTCTGAGTTCAGCACAGCACCACGCAGCCAGGGACTGCTGTTCAGTGTCCAGTCCTGAGGCTTACTGTACTCTGTTTGGATTGTTTTCCCCTCAAGGAGGCTGGAGGGCTGGGGAGGAAGGGAGTGGGTGGGGAGGGC